CACCCTCTGAGCTGCAGCCCGAGCTGGGAACATCACACTGAGATGTGTCCTTTTCCCACCAGGGAGGGCAGGCTTTTCTCCAGGGCTGCTCCAGCCAACACCACTACCAGTTGGCCAAACACCAAGAAAAATCCTAAGGAATGTCAACCCAATGCTGCCAACACGGAGACTGTTTTCCCTGTTCCAAACTTGTGTACTTCCATCTGTCCCCACAGCAGCATCCACAGAGGGAAGAGGTCCTCCCTGAGGACAGGAGTGCCTCCTGTGACCCTGCCAACAGAGGCAGCACTCTGACCAGAGGATGTTCGTGAGCTCCAGCACAATTTCCTGGTGACAGCGAAGGTGAGAAGGTTTTGGCAGACACAGAGTGCTCCTGTTAGGACCTTGGTTTAGACAAAGTGAAAGTGCTCCTGGGCAGTGAGCTGGGAATGGCAGCAGGAGCTGGGAATGAGGGACTGCACCTGGCCCTGAGTGGAGGCTGCAGTGAGAGCAGCTCTGAGACCCCCTCAGAGCGGGGTTTGGGAAGGGGGAGCTGGTCCCCTGTCCCACAGTCCCACACCAGGTGCAGCCCAAGGAGAACAGGGCTGTCCGTGGCTCAGGGGGAGCTGCTGCCCCGGGGCATGTGGGGCAGGTCCTGGCATGTCCCTGGCAGCCTTTCCCCTTTATCAGTGTCCCTTTATTAGCCTTTCCCCTGGAATGCCACAGGGATGCAGTGCTGATGGAGATGGGAGAGGGTCCCCTGGGTGGGAGAACATCACCCTATCCTCCCACATCTGGGCATCCTTTCCCTCCACATCTGGGCATCCCTTCCCTCCCACATCTGCCTGGCTCTGGCAGCCAGGGAATGCCAAGAGGCCAGGGCAGACTGTGGGAAGGAAGTCCCAAGGTCTTCTGTCACCCTCACTGCAAGCAAAGGGTGTTGAGTGTCCCAGTGACTACAGGGTACATGGGGCTACAGCTCCCCCAGATCCCCCCAGTCACCCACAAGAGCTGGGAATTGGGGTGGCAACAGTACCCAGGGATGGCTGCAGTGTCCCAGAGGTGACTGTGCTGTCCAGGAATACCCTTGGTGGCCCAGGTCTGGCACTAGTGTTCCAAAAGTGGCATGGTGTCCCGATGTTGGCTGTGGTGGGATTGCTGCAGGGACCCAAAGCCAACCAGATTTCCAGGGGCTGGATACTCTCGGGGTATGTGGGTTGTCCTGGCAGCAGCCACAATGCCCAAGGGACAGCTGGGGTGTCCCAGGGTGGCTGTAGGATGTGGGAACTCCTGATGGGGAGGAACAGCAGTGAGAGCAGCTCTGAGACCCCCTCAGAGCGGGGTTTGGGAAGGGGGGGCTGGTCCCCTGTCCCACAGTCCCACACCAGGTGCAGCCCAAGGAGAACAGGGCTGTCCGTGGCTCAGGGGGAGCTGCTGCCCCGGGGCATGTGGGGCAGGTCCTGGTGTGTCCCTGGCAGCCTTTCCCCTTTATCAGTGTCCCTTTATTAGCCTTTCCCCTGGAATGTCACAGGGATGCAGTGCTGATGGAGATGGGAGAGGGTCCCCTGGGTGGGAGAACATCACCCTATCCTCCCACATCTGGGCATCCTTTCCCTCCACATCTGGGCATCCCTTCCCTCCCACATCTGCCTGGCTCTGGCAGCCAGGGAATGCCAAGAGGCCAGGGCAGACTGTGGGAAGGAAGTCCCAAGGTCTTCTGTCACCCTCACTGCAAGCAAAGGGTGTTGAGTGTCCCAGTGACTACAGGGTACATGGGGCTACAGCTCCCCCAGATCCCCCCAGTCACCCACAAGAGCTGGGAATTGGGGTGGCAACAGTACCCAGGGATGGCTGCAGTGTCCCAGAGGTGACTGTGCTGTCCAGCACACCATGTCACCCCATACACACCATATCACCCCATACACACTGTGTCCCGTATATGCACCATACACACACCATACCCCTCCCATACACACAGGGGGCTCAGGGGGCTTCTGTGGGGTGGTTGCCCCACAGAGTCCCTGCCCAGGCATCCCAGGGCTGGCTGAGGATGGCCACAATGAGGGCTCACTGTCCCCTCAGCCCCACCCCCCCAGGAACAGTCCTGAGGGTCAGCCCCGAGGCCAGAGGCCACCACTAGCACACTCTGGTCCTCTGCTGACACCTGTGGGCAAGGGACTGTCCTCGTGTGTCACCCTGCCCTACCTGGCACCCTGCCCCACCTAGCACTGTGTCATTCTGCCCATACATGTCACCTCATCCTCCCTATGTCACCGTGTCCCTACAGGTTACCCCACCTGACATGTCACACTGTCCTTGCCCATCACACTGTCCCTACATGTCCCTGCTGCTGACATGTGCCCTCTGTCTCTTTGCCATGTCTCTTGCCCTGCCTGCACATCCTCCTGTTCCTGTGTGTCACCCACCTGCCTGTCCCCACAGCCTGGTCCTGTGGGGGATTTGGGGCTGGGCCACCACAGCCAGGGTTTGCCAGGGGAGGAGGGCTATGGTGCCTCTGAACTCATCCCTGGGGACACAGGGACAGTGTCACAGGCAGAGCCATGCAGCACCTGGGTCCCTGTCCATGGCACAGGGCCTTGGTGTGGAGCCAGGATGTGGGGCCGCAGTGGGGACAGCACCATCAGGTCTGTGCTGTGCCATGGGGGCTGTCCCCACCCGATGGCTGTGCCCCTGGCAGGGCCCAGCTGCAGCACCCTGGGGATGGAGCCTTCCCTGGGAAAGGGCAGGCGAGGAAAGATGGCCCAGCAGTGCCCCCTCCACAGCCCCCATTGTCCCCCATTCTCTACCTCCTCCATGTTCCCATCACTCCCTTCATCCCTCTCCATAACACCCTCCATCCCCTCCATTTTCCCTCCATCCCTCTACCCCTCGACTCCACCCATTTCCCCTTCCATCCCTCCTCCATCCTGCTCTATTGCCCCCTCCATTTGTCACCCTCCTCATCACCTCCATCCATCCATCCATCCCCCTGCATCATCCCTGTCATCCTCCCTCCACCCCCCTCCATCCCTCCTTCCATCACTGCTGCATTCCCCCTCCCACCCTGCCTCCCCTGAAGCTTCCATCCCCTCCATCCCTCCATCCCCCTCCATCCCCCTTCACCCTCCCCATCATCCTCTCCATCCTGCACTTGCCCCCTCCATTGTTCCTCCATCCCAATTCCATCTCCCCTCCATCCCTGCTGCTTCTCCCTCCCACTTTCCTCCCTCACACCCTCCTTTGTCCCCTGGTCCCCCTCCATGGCTGGGGCTGTGCCTTTGGGGAGGGGACTGTCCCCGCCTGGAAGCTCCTCCTGGAGCAGGAGAACTCAGACAGCGCCAGGCAGGCCTGTGTAAGGCAGCAAATACCCTAATTAATTAATTATGGGATAATCTCTGGTTCTGGGGAAGGAACGGGTGGCTGCTCAGACTCGATTAACCACAAGAATGTTTAATCTCCCCCCGCAGCCCCATAAGGCACCGGGATTATTCCCACTGGGATTCACCAGCCATGCCCGGCTGCAAGGGGACACAGAGCCTGGGACAGCCCAGGGACCCCCAAACTCCACAGGGTGACCCTGCCCCGGCCCCACGGGGATGGGATGGGATGGGCTGGGATGGGATGGGATGGAATGGGATGGGGGGTTATCCCTGTGCTGGCTGCCACAGGGAAAGAGCTCTGTCGCCATCAGAGTACTGGGACTGGGCATCCCCTGCTTCTCCTGCCTCTGTCCTGCATCCCAATCACACATCCCTGATCTCCCACAATGGACCCTGCATCCTGCTTCCCACATCCCAGTCCTGCATCCTGTATCCCACATCCTGCATTTCACAAAAGTACAGGGACACAAATCCTGCATCCTGCATTCTGCAACCCACATCCCATCCCAGACCTGCATCCTTCATCCTCAATCCTTCATCTGGAATCCTTCATCCTGCATTCCACTCCTGCATTCCAATGCAGCATCCCAGCCCAGAATCTCAGTCCTGCATTCCAGTGCTGCATCCCAGCACTGGACCCCAGCACTGCATCCTTCATCCCACATCCCAGTCCTGCATGCCAGTGCAGCATCCAGTCCTACATTCCAATCCTTTGTCCTACATCCCGATCCTGTATCCTTCATCCCACATCCCAAGTGCAGCGTCCAGTCCAACATTCCAATCCTTTGTCCTACATCCCAATCCTGTATCCTTCATCCCACATCCCAGTCCTGCATGCCAGTGCAGCGTCCAGTCCTACATTCCAATCCTTTGTCCTACATCCCAATCCTGTATCCTTCATCCCATATCCCATATCCTGCATGCCATTCCTGCATTTGTGATCCCATATCCCAATCCTGCATTCTGTGTCCTGCATCCTAATCCTGCATCCCAGCCCTGCCCGGCACACCCGTGTCCTTCATCCCACATCCCAATCGCGCATTCCAACGCCGCATCCTCCATCCCACACCCCAACCCCGCACGCCGGTTCTGCATTCCAACGCAGCATCCCAGCCCTGCATCCTTCATTCCACACCCCTCATCCCGCATCCCGGCAGCAGCAGCACAAAGGCCGCACTACAGCTCCCGGCGTGCCCGGGGCGGGGGGGCCCGGCCGCGCTCCCGCCCGCGGCTGCGGGTGCGCGGCTGCGGGAGCGCGCTCGGGGGGCG